GGGAATTAACATTCTCGGGCAGTTGCCCGGTAAGTTAACGTTATTATCCAGTAATTATAGAAGTATTGCTGTCTTATAATCATGTTAAAAGTATAAAAATATACGCATGAATATATTAATCGTAATAGCTGTTGAAGTATGGTCATTTTGAGTAATTTATGTAAGTAGTTCTTTAGAACGGTGCATGATTTGTCTTAAGTTTGACATTAGGCCACTATTTGTTGTACATTAGTTTCTCATCCCCGCCCGCATGCTTTTTAAGAAAATTGTCTTGTTCGCCATTATTGCCATTATTGCCATTTTTGACCATTATGGCAAATTTTGTGATGTCTTCAAAATTATATTTGAAAGAAAGACATGTAATTAGAAACGTTCCCAAACCAAACGTTTTAGTTAAGATACGAAATTTCATACCAACTGCAAAACTGCCAGTTTCTCTCGCATTTACGTAAAAGTTCTACCGAAAGCCAGGGGCAGGGAAAAAAACGCGAGACGACTAGGCTACAAAATTATTTCTCTATTCTGTGATTATTTCACATGTGGCCATGTTTTTAAGATGGAAACATACTCAGTTGCACTCACTAATTTTGTGCTGTTTTTGCAATGCTATAAATGCTAAATGCGCACTGTTTCAAAGTAATATTTACGGAGAGGGGAAATCCGACAAATAATGGCATAATGGTAATGGCCCGCCCGCCTGCATCAACTTTAGGTGAAGCCCCGGATGAGAAACTAATATGCAACAAATAGTGGCCTTACTTTAGGAACTACTTACATCATTTGAAATGACTGAACTTTAAGGCCTGAGTAATCCTTTTCTTTTGGTTCATTAAAGTCTTCCCACTCGTCTTCATTCTATACACACACATACACATTCAGTTTAAAGTCAAAGAAAGAGTTAAAAAAGATGGAAAAGCTATTTACTGTACATTGTGAACTTGCAGTATTTGTCAATAAAAGTCAATTACTGTATACTAAGAACACTGCATTGTTGAAAAAAACCACCATTTTTTGGTCAGCTGGAGCCGGAGATGCTTTCTCAAGTACTCTGACAATTTAGTAGAATTAGCGTTGGTTACAAATGATGGCAACATTGAATTTGCTGAAATTACATACACTTTGCAATAAGTCATTATGCCTGTGATCCATCATAGAAAAAGTTGTATTGTAAATCGCAAGCGATTAAAGCAAAAAAATTTAAAGGAATGCCGCCAATGAGAAACTCCTCGTCTGGCGTTTGACAGAGTAAAATAATAAAGTGGGGCGAATTGCCACTTAACAGGTTAATTAATCACATTGGACTCAGAAATATAAAAATGTGCAAACATATGAATTATCAATATGTGCAAGTAGCAACTTTCATCCATTGAGCTGCAACATGCCCAAATGCACACAGATTATTTCATTCTGTCTAATGGCAGACAACTTAATATGACTTAATATTGACTTTAGCAAGCATACCATAAACCTCTGAATATTAGCACTGGGCTTTTATTCATTCATGAATAAGTATTTCTCAATGGGCTTTAATATACATGGAGAGGGCTTTAATATACAGGGGGAGGGGGGCTAAGTGATTAGCAATATCGCAGCAGGGTAAAGACATAATCACATGGACTTGCTGCAGACTGCTGCGGCAGCCAGAGGGTACTTTATTCTGGGCCATCCATTTGATGTACACACACCCTTATAGACAAGTTCAATAAAATTTGAACCCCTAAGAAAAAAGATCAAAGTGCTGACACAAACACCCTCCCAGAAATTAAGAAAATTTTGCCATACCCCTCAGAAAAACGCAAAGATCAAAAGGATGCCGATGCACGCAACCCCTCAGAATTGGCTTTTTCAAATCCCCTCAGAAATTCTCGTCCATAGGGGGGGGGGTTACATTAAATGGAATGGCCCTCCACTACTAACTCTTGACGAAGGGCCTTCGCTCGAAACGTCGAGTTTCTGCTTATTTTTTAAGGTAGTAATATAACCACTCAGCACAGCATTTTCACTTTGGTACTACCAACACTGGTACAGACAGTTTTAGTATACAGTCGAACCTGTATTAAGCGGCACCGTATTAAGCGGTCACCCTTTGTTAAGCGGTCATGTGGCAAAGTCCCGAAAATTTCATAATATAAATACTAGTTAAGTGACCTTTATTGAATCCATGGTCACCTCTATTAAGCGGACGCGGTCATCCTTTCCACGGTCCCAAACTTAATTTTTCATTGTTTTGAAACTGTATTAAACGGTCAGTGGAAAGTAACTACAGCAAACATGAAACATAATACAATATATTATAATTAAATCTTTATTCGGCAAAATGTCAAAGTTTTAAGTTGTGTTTATCTCATTACTCGAACTTCCGTAATCACTGAAAGTGTCAACAGTCTTTTCAGTCCGTGTGAACGTGTTATTCAAGCAATTTAAATTTTTCTCGTGTCACCCTTCCCTTCAGCCATGAAAGTGATACTCGCACGGAATTTCTAAACCATAACCACCTCCTCTGTTGACACGCTTTCCTTTGACGATTATTTTACCAGAATTTGTCTGCCGCTTTAAAAACTTTGTCAGCCATAGTGCCATAAGTTTCGGGGCATGTCCAACTACGCTTAAGTGAATATTCCTCATCGAGTTTTGGTTCCCAGTCATCCATGTACGCATGATATCCCCAAATAAATTAACTAACCCGGAGTGTTGCTCTATTCCTTTCAGTGTAATTTACTTTAGTCTCAGATTCTGCAGCATGCATGTTTATACTTTATAACCAGAATGTCGGTAGTGTTTTTGTAAAAATGAATCAGCTGGTAGATTGCCCAAATCGCGTGTCAAATTTCACGACACTTCCTTATTTCATGTTTGGCCAGACGCTGTCTGGTTTGAAAAATGCTTTTCTGACGATGTCATAAGCGCTGCTATGGCGTTTTGTCAAAGTTGCTCGGAAGAAACAAAATATCGATGCTTACTTTGCCAAAAACCTACGTGCAATCGCTCAACTAATTGTTCGATTGCCGCATCCGAAGAATTACCAGGATGGAAGGCTGGTGTAGCAGTTGGCATATGTATACCCTGTGAAGAAAGTAGAGGAGTTGTCGGCAGCAAACGAAAAGAAAATGTAGACTTAAAACGCAACACAACTATGAAACAAAAATCCCAAGCATCGAAACCGCAGGCACAGAGAAAGCGCAAGTGTTTAAGCCTTCAACAAAGAATGGAAGTGGTTCGCTATTCGAAGGACAATCCGGGCAGTGGATATAGAAAAATAGCCGAGCACTTTGGAATAGGCAGAACGCAAGCACAAAAAATTATTCAAAATAAAGATGCTATAATCGTCTCGTACGAAAGCAGCGTCAGCTCCAGTTCAACAAAAAAGAGTCCGTGTTGGAAAGTACACCAATGTTAACGAAGCGCTATGGGACTGGTATTTGATGTGCAGAAACTCGAACATACCCATTTCGGGGCCAATGCTTCAAGAAGAAGCTCTCCTAATTGCTGAAAAATTAGGAATCATTGGGTTTTCTGCGTCGAACGGCTGGTTAGAGTCATTCAAGAAACAGCACGGGATTTGCAACAAGTCAGTGGCAGGAGAAGAAGCCGACGTTAGAACGGAAACTGTTGAAAGTTGGTGTGAAAGAGCAAGGGAAATTACAAGAGGATGGAAACCTGAAAAAATTTGGAACATGGATGAGACTGAAGCCTTTTGGCGGGGATTACCTGAGAAAACCCTGAGTGAAAAAGGGAAGCGTTGTAGCGGTGGAAAAAAAGCAAAACAACGGAATACGTGGGCGTTTTACGTGAATGCTGCTGGGGGAAAGGAAGACCCTATCGTAATTGGAAAGTCTGAAAAGCCTAGGTGTTTCAAGAAACTGAAAGATGTAAAACGTCCATATAAGTGCCACTACTTTTCAAACAAAAAAGCTTGGATGAACTCTGAAATAATGAACTCTGTTCTATCGAAGTTGAACAAACGCTTGATCAGGGAGAAGAGAAACATTATTTTGTTTATGGATAACGCGCCATGTAATCCTCCATGTTTTGAAGGGAAGTTTCCCAACATCAAAATTGTATTTTTACCGAAAAATACAACATCCGAGACCCAACCTCTGGACGCTGGGATCATCGCTAACTGGAAGATAAAGTACAAAAGCGACTCCTCCGATATGTATGCTCCAGAGCAGATGGATCGATTAACGCATCAGAAATAGTTAAGTCGATTAATGTTCTCATGTCTATTGAATGGGGGAGGCAAGCATGGGACGAGTTATCCAACAGCACCATCAAAAAGTGCTTTCAGAGCACAGGGATGTATCCACAAGACCCAGTTGTAGAAGATGATCCATTCGAGGGAGAAGAGCTACATGATCTGCAAAATCTTATCGACAGATTTGACACACAGCTAACAGCAAATGAATTTATCGCAGCTGAAGATGACATTGAAGTTTGTTCGGGTTTAGTTGACAGCACCAATCCAAACTGGAGGAATGATCTGCGTGAAGAACTGCTTCATGACGACATAGAGGACGAATTGTCAATCTTAGAAGACAAAGAACTACTAGCTGGAGAACAGGATGCAGAATATGATATGGAAAGTGCGCAGTCGTCAATTAAAACAGTGCGAGAAGCGATGGAATCCGGTGATGAATTGCGAAAATTTGCTCAATTTAACGGACACCGAGAGCTTTCGCTTGCTATGTTAAGGGTGAATGACTTGTTGAGTCAAATTAAACTGAGCAGTCCGCAACAACAAACAAAAATTCATGACTATTTTTCAGCGGCTTAAGCTCTGACATTTTTATTGCACAGTAGTACATGTAGTCTCAACTCAGAAGCAATTCAAAAACAATTTGCACTTTAAACTCAGAAACAATTTGCAGTTTTATATACTTTTTAATTGGTTACTTGGTATGTGTATTGAAATATATTACTGTTTAGTTCAAATTTAGTTATATTAAATGTTATATTTAAGCCGTGTGGTGATTTTCTACAAGACCTGTATTAAGCGGCCAACCTGTATTAAGCGGTCATTTGCGAAATCCCCGAGGGTGACCGCTTAATACAGGTTCGATAATGTATTATTATCGTTTATGTATATATAAAATATATGATATTGTACAGTATTCAGTGGTGAGCTAACCTGCGATCAGGCCTATAAATAAATAAATAGGCCTGATACAAACCTTAACATGCCTTACAGCTATATTCGGTTGTAAATCTGATTGGTCTATGAGACAAAAGATTTTTTAATCAGTCATTTGATCGGTTGGTGCTAATTAGATATTTATACTATTGTTGATGATGTATTTTATAGTGAGCATAACTATAATTAGATTGTTGTTGTCGTTGTGTGAAATTTAAATTTCTTCTGCGACATTTTGATTGGATACTAAATATGAACTTTGCTGTGGGTGGAAAGCTATCACATTAATGTTTGTGTCAGGCTTTTTTTGTAAAATAGAGCCTGATCTCTGGTTAGTGGCGAGCTAGTCATTGCAATTGGTCATGCTATGCCTATGCTGATAAACATGCATCTATTTGAATGAAACAAATCATTAAAGACTTGCATAACATGACCTGTTGCTATGGCTATTTTCACCATTGACAGCATTATACATACATACATATAATTATACATACAAAAGCAAGAAGTTATAAGCATTGAAGGTATTCATGCAAAACCGCCCATGCCAAAAAATTAGAATTCCTGCCCCCTGAACAGGCGCCTTAGGGGCTGTTTACATAATGGAAGGTGGGATGTTTTTGTTGTATTGAAATAAGTCACTTGGTTAATTAACCGAACTCAAATATTGTAGAGAAGATCTTGTGTTCAAGAAGATTATTATTGGTGCTTGAAAAAACCTTTCGTTTACAAAATGTTTAGGAATGAACTTTCCCTGAGCCTCATGTTAATAGTATATTTTGTGTTCAATACAGGGTGTATAAAAAAAAACTGAACAGATTTGAAATTGCTCTCAATTTCGCAAAACACCTATTTGTATCCGTTTTTAAGCCCTTTAACTATTCATTTTGTTCTAAAAAATCAGCCTTTCGCATGCTTAATTAATGCCTTTACCTAATTTGCATATTGCTGACATATGCAAATTAGGCAAATGCATTAATTAAGCATGCAAATAGCTGATTTTTAGGGAAAATGTAACTTTGCGTGAATAGTCAAGGGGCTTAAACTAAACCAAATTGTCTGAAATTTTGTACAGTAATTAAAAACCCGACAAATTTTCCACCTTTTAACTCAAAATATGATTGCAGCTTTTAGATTTTGTGCGCGAGCCATTTTTAGTTTGTTGGAAAAGACACACCCGCCTGGTTCACAAAATTTGGGTTCGAGAAATTTTTTTCATTATTCCACATTATAAGTACCCAACGAAGCTATATATATATATATATATATATATATATATATATATATATATATATATATATATATATATATATATATATATATATATATATATATATACACTGGGTGCAGAAAAGTTTGACCTTCGAATATATATATATGTCGGCCATTTTGAATTTTCTTGGGTTAATTATACGCGAACGCATACATCAAATGTCGCTCGCAACGTACTGTATATTGCAATATTCCAACAGCTCAAATAAGTAGAGGATCATTGCTTGAAGTTCTTACACATATTTGTAGTAGCTATCTAATAAACATTTGAGGGTTGTTAACTCTAATTAACTCTTGTCACAATTTGGAACCCGATCTTTTTGGCATGTCGTAATTTATTCTTTTGCATCCTTAGAGATTTAGACGCTTATGAGCATGCCTCGATGAATTTCTTTGTTTATTCTTTCGTATTCACTTGTGCTTATCTTATAGCTGTAACCTACGTCCAGAATTATTATATTAAAGAGTTTGGCAACCTAGAACGGCAACGACAACTGCAACGGGGAAAATATAATTGCTTATATTGTTGTATTTGAGCCAAAGTATACGTTACTACACTTAATTTGCCTCATTAAGTATTCCTGTTTCTTTCAACCGTACCCTTAAATAAAAATAGTCCGCGAATTCAATAAAACTCTCAAATAACATCGAACGAATGAATTGTTGCCGTAGTCATGCACCGTGAAAATGATGCAAATCACGTATTAGTTTCAACAACTACGGCATTGCACAACGCTTAAGACCATGTAATTTACATTCGCCTTTGTCTTTGAGGATTAATGCTATTGTTAATGACCATATTGCCGTTGCGGTTGCCCATGTATTTGCCGAACTCTCTATTATATTTTGCCAACGGAAATTTTAACGGAATCGATAGTCATTCGATATTTCATCCCCTGAAACTCAGCACACGCAGCATTTGTGACCTGGCGAAGCAGAAACGTTCATTTCCTACTAGCCATTATGTTCATTTCCAAATGTTCATTTCCTACTAGCCATTATGATTATGTGCAAAGACATCAATCAATGATTCTTTTATTCATTTGAGCTGTTGGAATAATATTGCAATATACAATACGTTGCGAGCGACATTTGATGTATGCGTTCGCGTATAATTAACCCAAGAAAATTCAAAATGGCCGACATATATATATATTCGAAGGTCAAACTTTTCTGGATCCAGTGTATATATATATATATATATATATATATATATATATATATATATATATATATATATATATATATATATATATATATATATATATATATATAAAAAACCGGATACAAATAGGTGTTTTGCGAAATTGAGAGCAATTTCAAATCTGTTCAGTTTTTTTTGATACACCCTGTATATAGACCACAGTAAGACTTTTTAAAATGTGTTCATTACATTAACAAACAACGTTTCGGAGATTTACTCAATATTCAGGTAGTTAATAGGATTAAAAAAGTCTTACTGTGGTCTATATATTGAACACGAAATATAGTTTAATATATAGTATAATAAAGTTTTTGTTGAATGGTGCACCATGACTTCTTTCAATACATCGAATTCATCCGCCTCGTAGTTTCTCCTGACAAAGCGGGATCATATAAACAGCCCCTTATTCAGCAAATTGTGCATGCTGCCTTTGATCCCTTGGGGGTGAGGCAGCAGTTTCCTTGCGATAGTAACTTCTAGTAATAGGTGTACTCGTATTAATGTTTTGAAAAAAAATCAGTCATCCGTCCCGGATCAATTACAGAGCTAACCCTGTCCACATTTATGCTACGGCCCGTAATTTTATTTACCGTTTTCCACCATTCCTTTGACCCTTAAATTTTTCTGTGTTTACCTTGACAGCTCGAATTTGGTTCTCACGAATTAATATATTGATCTTTTCCTGAAGTTCAGGGCTAATTCCCGTTTTTATTTGCCTATTTCAGAGTCATATATATGGGGATCTCTTGAGGGAACCTGTACCTTAATCAAAGGAAAACAACCATTACACAAGTCTCGAAATGCATTAGTTAAAATAGAAACTACCTCACTTCATATTGTTCACCTTGCTTTCTGGTACGGTTAATTTCACCTATGCTCGAGGAATCATCATTTGCAAAATTGAGTAACGAACTAGCCAAATTTTGGTAAAAACAGCCGGCCGTATTTTCTCTATTTAGTGCGGCTTTGGGGCTTATATTGACTGAAGGCACATTAGAAGGGAGCTCGATGTATTAAATAGAGGCTGGGGGCTTTTTGTTAGGATACTTATAAAAGTATAAATATATAGATATTTATACTCAAGTTGCTCGGAGGATAGTCTGTTAGTGCAGCCGAGTCATTATCCACGCGGGCTAGCCTCTTCGCAGAACAGGCAGATTATAAACGTTTTGCATAATTAACTCAAAAAGAAATGCTCAGAACACATGAATGTAACCATCTTATAAATTTCGACAAAAAGGGAACTTATTCTGGCATAACATGTTTTAAAGTAATTTTAAACTCTGCATGAAAGGTTGTTTGGAAACAAAGCTCAAACAGCTCAATATATAATAACAATTAATAATTCATGAAGCAATTATCCAATCTTGAGTAAGAAATTAGTCACGTGCATACGTCTTTATAACAGCTAAAGAACACTTTAACAAAAGACCATTGTTATGCAAACTACAGGGTGTATCAAAATAAACGCAATTCATCTTTTGTGCTTAATAACTTTCGAAATACTATTTCTAGTTAAACGCTTTTAGGCTTACTTCAAAGCCTGTTCTTTTCTCTTTCAAACAAATTATTATCCTTGTCTCCAATGCTAGTAATAATTGCACAGGAAAAGATTTAGTAAACCTATCATTTTTAGTTGCTGTTTAATTATGCAAGTTTACTATGTTATTGTTTAGTCGGTTCAAATGTTAGAATTTTCTTCTTTAAACTTTAATGTTGTCGTCACTACATCTGGAAAACCATGTAAGAACAAATTAAAAGTATTTTAAAAGAGACCAGGTTGTTTGAAAATCCTAAACGAATGCTAAAAATCGTCAAAACATTCTGGTGTCTGAGTCAGAGTGTCATCGAATTGCGATGTAATGTAAACAGAAATTATAGCAAGTTGATGTCAGTCAGCTTAGATGGTCCAAGCCAAAATTATATCGCATTTGAAGTTTCAAACTGAGTTAAAATAGTGGAAGAAAAGCCGTAATTATACTTATTGTTACAATCCATTTAATAAAATGCAACATTTTTTTGTTTTAATGAAAAAATCAGTTATTTTCATGAGAACGATTTGTTATTCCATCTCAATTTTTTTAATCTCCAATCGCAATAATGTAAATTATTATTACCCGCGAACCAATGAGTCAAATTTAAGAAATATCCCACTGTTAGAAAGCTG